TTCTTCCACACCATTAGCGTTGTGAGCACACACACAGGTCGACATTTACTCATCATCTTAACTCCTGGCAGGGCCTGCCACCTGGTAGACACTCAGGAAATATTTGTTAAATGAATAATTGAACACCCTGGAAGCCAAAGACCCAGATTGCTTCTCTGCCTGACCCTTTCTTCTGCTGGCTGGAGCTGGACTTTATGATGCTGAACACGACTTACCAAAGGCTGCACAGAGTAGAAAGAGGAGAAATAAACAGCATGCGTACCCCTGCCCCTCCTGCCCCATTCCTGCCCGCCTTGCACCATTCCAAGCTAAGTTTGAGCCGTACCTCCCCCGGGCATGCGCTGCAGCAGGAGCACAGCCTTTGGCATCAGACAGACATGGTTCCCACTACACGACTGATCAACTCACTCAGTTTGTGTATCTGTAAAATGGGAAATCTCCCACATGAGGACATTATGAGGTTTGAACGTGATTTTACATGAGAAGTACCCAAACTCTTCCAAACACATAATGCTCAGGAAATATTATTTCCTTCCTTTCTACTCTTAGGAAACATGCTGCTCCTCCTTTGTATTGCCGGGGATACGTCTCTATCGACAGCTCTTGTACTGGGTAAAATGAGATCACCTCTTTCTACCAGGAAGGAGGGGAAGAGGCAGGCACTGCAAAAATCTAATCGGAGTTGGTGTCTCTCTTAGATTGCAGGCCACTCTTGAATGCCCCAGTTCTGCAAAGAGCAGCATCAAAAGCCACTTTCATTCCAGGAATGTGGCTCTTCCTTCACGACTAGGTTGTGCTATCTCCAGAAGAAAGCACTGTGCGCCTATCCACTCCCCAGGTAGCAGTAAGAGTGTCGTCACCTGCCACTCTCGCTGGTAGAGAGTTAAAGCTGGGGCCTGAGGAGCACTCCTGCCCCACCTATGGCCAGAAGTGGCCCCTCCGTGCTTGAGAGTGCCTAGGCCTCAGCAGAGGAAAGCAACTAACAAAGCCTGAGGAGGGGCAGGGATGGCTCCTTGAGGGAGAAGGGGAGAGCCAGTTAAGGGGTTGAGCCCAAGACTCTGGGAAGGGCCCGGCATTGAGGAGATAAAGCCTGGATGTATGGGAACCGCATCTGAGGCCAAGGTCTGTAAAGTGCTTCCCGGTGCTGCCAAGTAAAGCCCGACCACCTCGGCTTCCTCCACCTATGCTGCTCTGTGAGAACCAAAGTACTGTGAGCCCTTCCATGGAGGCGGAGAGTGCAGCTGTCCCACAGAAGCCTGGCAAGCACAGAGAGGTTTGGGAAAGGGAAGAGAACTGATTCCCCACATCCAGGGCCTCAGGGTTTGAGCCTCCCAAACAAGGATAAACAAGAGTCACCATGGGTTAGTGGGTAGCCTGAGCAGCAGAGACACTGGGGACAGCGCCAAAGATGACTTCCCAGAGAACTCATTGGTGTCCATGCTCCTCACCCGACCCGGAACAGCAAGATGCCCCCACTGGGCAGAAAAGGTGGGGCCAACCAGCAGGATTAAACACTGTTACACTGCGCTGTCACCCCACAGCTGGGGGGTCCTGACTTATTCATCTCAGCACCCCTGGAGCCTGATGCAGGGCTTACCACACAGCAAGTTCTCAAAGTGTCAGTGTTTACTGAATATTTAATGAATGAATAAACGAATATGTCAGTTAGGAGCATTCAGAAATGAGAATTTAAGCAAAAGTTTAATAACAAAGAAGCCTGAAGCATAAGACTAAATTGTGATTATTTGCATCAGGGATTGTAAATACCACTCAGACTTCCATTGCCAAGAATGATTCAAGCTTACCATAGAGAACAAGCTTAGCAATTTTTAATTTTTTAAAAGTATTTTATATTACTGTCCTAAGAAGACCAAATTTATGTTCTCTGGGAACTTGGACTACATCAAAACACCTTGACAAGAAAGACAAGACAGGGCAGACGGTTCCCTACACAATCACGGAGAACAGCACTGGACCCAGCAGCTGCCAGTGGCTTAGACCCCAAAGCTTCCCCCAGGAGCGCCTGTGCTCAGCCATAATCTCTGCGGCACAAACGTGGAGGACAGAGTGAGCTCCATACACCTACCCGCACCCCTGTGGTGAGTTCTGCGCAGGGGAAGAGAACAAGATAATTTGGGGAGGGACTGTTTTCTGGCTCCTCTCAAAGTGAGTCCATAAGTACCCCCCAGCCATTGGTGCTCCAGCTTCCAACTATTGGCCCAAACAGGTCCTGCTATGGGGCAACAGCCTGAGTTCACATTCACCAGTGTCATTAACAATATTCACGTTAACCCCGAACACCCTGGAAGCCCCTCACAGTGAGCGCATTAGCATGGAAATGAATAAAGTGGCATATTTAAGCAATGAAATATTAATATCAGTCAGAATGAAAGATCAGGTTTATATCTAGCTCCAAAGTTTTAAGTTTTAAAAGGACAGATATGATATGAAAACACTTGTCATTTAAAAAAAAAAAAAGCAACTCTCAAAATAACGTTTGGGTATAGATCTATGTATGTATATACAACAAAAGCAGTAAAAATGTACGTGAATGGTCCCAGCACCTCCGAGACAGAAGCTACCCTGGGGGGGGGGGGGTGGAGGTGGGTGAGGGAGAGGGAGAAAGGTTTAGCTGATTTTTCTTTTGCTTATACTTCCCAACATTTTCTTATGCAAAATTTCAAACACAGAGTTGAAAGAGCCTCACATGGAACAAGCCGTGCACCTGTGAGAAGTGTCAGAGCCACTGAGACCCCCATCTGCCTACCTCGCCTGTCTGTGCCCACCCTCTGCCCCTGCTACCCCATCTCTTTCATGCTTTTCAAAGACCATGCAGGGGTCGCACCTGCTTCAGTGTGTACACCGTCAACTACAGCTTGGCGTTTGTTGACAGCTCTTTTTTCTGACGTAAAATTGACCTGCAGTGAAATGCATGATCTCAAGTGAAGGTCTGTTTGAACAAACATATTCACCTGCGGAACCCTATGGAGCAATACAGAATGAGCCCCGCCTAGAAAGTTACCTTCCGCCCTCTCCCAGTCATACCCCATCTCAACATCTGCCGAGGGAACCAGTGTTCTGACGTTTTCCATGGGAGATGGACTTTGCTTGCTCTAGGATTTCACACAGATGGAACCACACAGCAGCGGCTCCTTTGGGGAAGGCGCCTTTCCCTCAGCATAATGGTCCTGAGAGTTGCCCAGACGCTGTGTGGATGAGTACTTCGTTTTTGCAGTGGAGTGCTATTTCATTTGTAGGAAAATATCACTATTTATTTATCTATTTTTCTATAATGGACACCTGGCCTCTTTCTAGTTTTTGGCTAGATATACGTCTTTTTGTGATCATGTGTTTTAATTCTTCTTGAACAAATAACTAGGATTGGAGTAGCGGTGCAAAGGGTGTCTGTTTAGCTCTATAAGAAAGTGCCAGACTTTTTTCCAAAGCAGCAGCAGCACCACCACATCCTCCCCCGACATGGCACGAGAGGTCTGGCTGCCCACATCCCGGGGGTGCTTGGTGCTTCACTCTTGTCTGGACCATCTGATCAGTGTGCGCTGGCATCTCTGGGTTTGCATTTTCCCACTGACTAGTAATGTTAGTGTCAGCTATTTATTAAACATTTTATTTCCTTAAAATGAGAGAGAATGAGAGAGAGTGAGAGACAGAGAGAGAGAGACATAGAGAGATCTGGAGCAAATATAGTAAAATGCTCAAATCTAGGACATGAACATACAAGTTTCTAAATTATTATCTGTGTTTGAAATATTTTGTAATTAAAAATAAAACATATTATCCACCTATAATTCCATCTATAAGCGTATGTCCGTCCCTGAAGCCCAAGCTCGGCTCGCACGCAGTTTCTTGGTATGGAGGGAAGCTCAGTGGACAGCAGGCCAGGTGTCCATCCAACAGGCTCTACCACAGGACAGCATCTTCCCAAAGTTCTGAGTGCTGCCTGCCTCAGGGACATTGCCCAAGGCCCTGGCTTTGCTCCTGACCTGCTCCCACCTCCACCTGGGCTCCCCATTCACCTCTGCTAGACCAGTGTGTCTCCTTGGCTCAGTTCGGTGGTGTCACCTCTCTTTCTTTGCCTTCCATGGACCGGGCTTGGGTGACAGTGCTCCTCTCCTGTTGGGGGCCTGAAGCCCCACACCCCTTCTTGTGAGACCGCTCCTACATGACAATCTGCTCAGATGGCCGTGCTTTACATGATAACTGCCTTGAAATCTGCTTGTGCCAGAAACTGATTGCTCCTGGCTATGCAAGTAAATTTGCAAGTGACCTTTTATCCTTCTCCAGAAACTGTTTAACCCTAAACATTCTGGGTGGCAACCTTTACTTTGAATGTCCTGTCTTTGTCTCTCCTCAAGATATTATCATATCTTTACATTCCAGACCCTTTGCAGCATGCCTGCTTTTTCCTATATAAGATGTAACCTAAGAATCAATAAACGAGACTTGATCAGAATACTGTCTTGTCTCCCATCTCTCGTGTCTCTTGTTCCATACCATTCCCACTCCCCCCTCCAGGGTCTGCGTTGAATATCCCGCGGGTCGGGACACTCTCCCAAAGGTCTGACCTGGCCTGTATTGCTGTGGCATTAACTCCTCAAAGGAACTCCCACTGATATTTATGTACAGACTCCAAATCAATACCAAATATTTCCAAATAGACATTCTTAAGAATTTAAAAGTGAAAGATGCCCAGATGCTTCAATGTCCTCAAACGTGGTACCCAAAAGCACATGCTGCTGTTTCCTCAGATGGACATAATTTGGTTTTTCCCACTTCACACTTGGCTCTCATTGTAAACAAAGTCAGATTCCCTCACTGAACTTGAATAATTACTATGATACCTCAGGAAAGAGAAGTAGGACTGCCCAACCTCTGAGGTCTCAAAGCGTGGATTATTTCCAAAATCTCCCAGGCAGGCTGAAGACAGCACAGAGCGGAGGCCCGGGGTGGGACAGTGACATGTGGCATTGTGGGACACTCACCGCTGGCACTCGCCAGCATGCAGGATGAGCTCCTCATTGCTCCTGGCACTGATGGTCAGCTCATGCTCTGTGGAGTTGAAGACGTCCAGGAGCAGGTGGCACTGCCGGGTACTGTGTTGAAAGAAAAAAGAAAGTTCAGAATCCTCTGACAGCCAGAAGGGAGCAACTCTGCCTATTCCTCCTCTCCAAGGATTTCCTACTCCTTGAAAATGTGCAGATGTACAATTCATCAAAATGCCAAATGCCCGAGACCCATTCTGCACACAACTGTGAACTCCAAAAAGTGGGTTTTAGCATCAGGTCCTCATTGGTCCTGGGGTCTTGGGAACATGTGCTTACAACTCAGCCATACCCTTTACGAACCAAGTGACCTTGAGAAGGTAAGCAGAGTTCTCCAAGCCTCAGTACATGAGGACTAGAATGCCTGAGCCCTCTGTAGGGCAATCCATGGGGAAACACGTGTCACTCAACAAACGCTACATCCAAGCCAGGCTGTCCTCGCTACGAGGTGCCAAGCACGAGAGACTGCAACCTCACTGCGCACACGTGAGCTTCTCATGCTCACACTCCACCTTACTCGTCTTTATTTTTTATTTATTTTGTTACAAAGGCATTTAGTTTATTCTCCTCATTAACATCCCCGACTGTCTCAGGGTTCATTCACATTTGCCAACGCTGCCCCTCTCCTTACAGCAGCTACATGCAATCTCATTCATGGGCCTAGGGGAGTGGAGAAGCTAGGCCCAGGGTGGGGAGGGTGGTGGCTGTGGCCGATAAGGCAGTTTGTCACCACCCATCTGAACCCTCCACTGCTTTGTTTGTTCTGCTACAGAGGCGGAAAGTAAAATATTCAAGTTCCCATCCTTCCCTGCAGCAAGGGGTAATGCATGTGGCAAAGTTCTAGCCAATAAGACAGGCTTCTGGAGACTTCTACCCCAAATAGAAAGGCAATGTCTTGAGAGAGAAGGCGACCTCGCTGGCTCCCTCCTCTCCTTCCCTAGGAGTGAGGTGGATGCCTAGAAGCTCAGCCACCATCACAGACAAGGACAAAAACCACAGGCTTCGGATGGCAGAGCAGGGTCAGAAGGGGCCTGGGTGCTGCCGACATCCCCGGCAGCTGGGGCAGCCCCACATTGTCTCCCTCCCTCGAGACTTATTAGCTACATGGGCAAAATTTAAAAAGAACCAACACCACACGCTTCATTTCTGTTAGTCACCATTCGTTAGGTTTCCATTACAGTTGAATGCTGGCCTAAAACACACACAGTATCTCAAATAGCAAGTATTCCAGCTAGCCCATGACAGGTAATCGATAAATGTTTGCTGATATAAATGGTATGGCTGTTCCCACGACAAGAGCAGGCACAGGAGACAGCAGCAGGGCAGAAGCTGTTCTTCATGCAGGAGCAGGGAGAACAGTTTTCATGAGCGGGGGAAACTTGGAGACAAAAATCTTGTGCTCTGGGTCATTTTTAGCTTAGTGTGACTTCAAAACGCAACCTTCCAAAGGGCAAATGTATTTCCCAAAGCGGGAGGCGAGGCTGTGCTGGTTGTTAAGGAAAGTCAAGTGAAAGGCGAGGGAAGGAGGACCACCCTCCACCACCTGTCCAGGCTGCCACACTTTGTTATGTTGCCCCAACAGCCCTGCAAAGTAGGCGTCGTGTGCACCAAGGAACAGAGGCTCAGGAGAGGACAGAACCACTGATGTGCTGACCAAGACTCAAGACTTAGAGCTCCAAATCACTCACTTTTCGCAGTAGGTGAGGACCCGTATTCCAAAGCCATGCCTGTCCTCTGCTTGTTCCAGAGAAGGGAACTGAGGCACAGAGGGGTGCAGGAGCGTGTCCAAGGGTGCAGGCTCATATGCACACGCCCATGTGTACACACACATGCGCAGACATCATCAAAAGGCCACAAGGAAGCTGTGAAGTATCAACTTTCCAGAATGTGTGTGTGTGACCTGCTCTCAAGGGAGGTGGGTAAAGGGGTACGTCCCATCTCTATTGTGTGCCACAGCATTGCTGTGGCACTGCACATGTCTTTACGTGACAAGTTCACTTTGGTTGATTCTGGGTTCTCTGGTTGGGGGTGTCTTCCCCAGAAGGTCGGCACTTGGAAAATACTCATTAGCTCTGACAGCTGCCTACAAGAAGCCTCTTCACACAGCTCACAGAAAAATGGGCTGTGAGAATGAAGATCTACTCTGCCTTTGTCAGAACTTGGTGAAGTCTTTAATCACAGCAAAATCTTTCATCAGAAAAGGGAACTCGTAAAACATTTATCTGAGGAGGAAAACTGAAGTGATTTTTTAAAAGACAAATACATGTTGTTTTCACTCACAAATATAATACTCAGAAAACTGCACAGGCATACACAGCATCAACACACATTTTCTGTCCTTTTTTCTGACTCACTGTCTGCGTGTGGGGGCGTCTCAAACTAGTGTTTGTATTCCTTCTAATTGCTGACATTATGATATATTGGTGGATCTTTGCTTTCTGTCTGTTATTCATAGACTAATTCCCTTTTCCAGACAGCAGCAGCACTCTGTGCCCGCCGTAATGTCATTCACTCTGTGTATCTTTCCATTTCACTTTGGATGATTTTGTTTAAGGCTAATGCTCTGAGCACATAGTTTACTTTTAATTCTTGTTTGCTTTTTGGTTTTCTCTGCATCTATCTTTCTGAAGTAAGTAGAAGGAAGTCCAAGAAAGCTTCCTGGAAGAATGAAGATTAGAGCAATCTTTGAAGGAAACATACACGAGCCTGATCGGAGCAGAAGAGAACGGAGCAGAAGCCCCACAGCATGGGAGAGCACCATTACTGTGGGAATCTGGGGCAGACTTGGGTGAGGGGGATCGGGCTGCCAGGGGGAAAGGAGAAGCACATTCTACGCAAAGAGAGCAGCGTGTGTGAAACCACCTCGATGCAGTGAGCGTGAAGTACATCCTCTGCTCAGAAGTGGGAATTTTATTAATTCATCTAACAGGTGTCTCCTGAGTCCCTCCTATGGACCAGGTCCTGTTCTAAGCACTTAGACATAGAAGTAAACAAGAAAGACAGGCTCTCTGCTTTCATGGAAATTACATGGAAAAAGGAGGGCTGGGAAAGATGGGGGAGTTAAAAAAATATTAAAATTTTAGTCACTTTTTGTAAGATTAGAAAAAAACAGCTTCAAACAAGTTGTTGAATAAAGGATTAAAACGCACAAAATCAGTACCATCCCTATATATCAACTAAAAATAATTAAAAGATAAAACTTTTAAGAAAATTAATTTATAATAGAAATCCACAATGCACGTAGAAATAAATCTAACAAAATATATGTAAGCCACTTATGTAGAAAATGACCAAGTCTTATGGAACAATATTAAAGAAGACAAATAAATGCAGGATTTATTATGTTCAAAGATGGGAAGATTTAATATTTTTAAAGAAGTCACCATTTTCCAAATGTATATAAATTCAATGCAACTCAATAAGAAATCCCAACAGAGTTTTGTTTTTGGTGAAAGCTGACACTCTGATTCTAAACTTTATATGTAAGAGTAAAGAGCCAAGAACATGCGAAACATTGATGAGAAAGATTTCTGGAAGGGATTTGCCCCTACCATATTATCAAGAGTGTCAGAAAGCTGCAATAATGAAGACAGAGATAGGTAAACACCTTAATACAAGAAAAAGTCCAGAGGCAGAGCCGTGAATACAGGGAGCTGCAGACATGAGTGGGATGGTGGCACTGATCAGTGAGGAAAAGACTCAGTAAACAGTGCTGGGACAAAGGGCTACGCAAAGAGACAAAAAGTTATATCCCTACCTCATGCCATGAACAAGAATAAATTCCAAATAGACTGAATAGCTCACTAAGTGTTAAAAAGAAATTCAAAACCTTTAGAAGAGACTGTAAGTGAACAGCTCATTAAATTGGAAGAGAGAAATACTTCTCAAATTAGTTATAAGACATATAAAATATAAGGGGAGTGACTAAAACATTTGGCTATATTAAAATTAATAACTTTAAAAAAATTAAGAACTTTAGTACAATGAAAAACATTAAAAATCAAAGCAAAGACAAGCTACCTGTGAAAAGGTATCTGCAACACATTAAGCTGACAAAAGATTAGAATTCTGAATTTATTGAGAACTCCCATAAATCAGTAAGAAAGAAATGACCTAATAGAAAGTCAAGCGGAGGACAAGGACTGACAATTTAAGTAGAGAAAATCCAATGGCCAATAAACAGGAATAGAAGTTCAATGTAAATAGTAGTTAGAGAAATGGAAATAAAACCCTGAGATACTATTTCCCATCCAACCTATTGGAAACATTTTTAAGTGTCCAATACCAAGTGTTGGCCAAGACTTGGATCAACAGGAAATATGGGACCTCTCGCTCACTGCTGCTAGGGGTATAAATTGGTGCTACACCTTCAGAGAGAAGACTGAGAATATCTAGTCTGCAGATGAGTACCCTTTGACCTAACAATCCCACTTCGAGTCACAACATCTCGGATCAACTTGGAGTTCGGCAGAAGGATACATTCAAAAACGGTTATTGCAACGCTGTTTATAAAAGCAAAGAACTGCTTTTAACTAAATTTACATCAACTGGAAAGTACAAATAGTCACACAATAGTATAGCAATGCCACGGAAACCTATGCAGAAATGAAAATGACCTTAAAAGAACTATACACCTCACCCACCACAGATAAATCTCCTGCTAATAATGCTTGGTAAATAAGCGGCAGAAGATACCAAAGAGAGCTGCCAGTTAGCTCACTTGGGAGAGCGTGGTGCTGATAACATCAGGGTCAAGGGTTTGGACCCCCATACCAGCCAGCTGCAAAATAAAATTTTTTTAAAAAGGGAAAGGGGAAAAAAAAAGATATCACAGTATACACGCACTGTGTGAGCAGAGCGGGGCAGGGAGGTAAAGCTCTCAACAGCAAGGTGTGTCACTGGCGTGCATCACCCAGCAGGCCACCCTGCAGCAGCCAGGGCTCAATCTTGCTGGTCCCTCTGAGGAGCTGTAGGGACTGCACCTCAGAACTGTGCACCTGAAGCCCAGAAGAGGGATAAGTTCTTCACTGACTCTTGCCCTCATTAGTCAA